CCTCTCCACAGACCCTTTCCCTTTTCCCTCCACCTGCTGGGCTCCGGTGATCCTTCCGCTTCAGCCTTCCGAGTAGCTGGAATTACAGACATGTGCCACCACGCCCGGCTGATTTTGTGATTTTATTGTAGAGATGAGGTCTCGCTGCCCAGGCGGGTCTCGAACCCGCGGGCTCAGGCAATCCACTCACCTCAGCCTCCCAAAGGCACGGGATTACAGGCTGAGCCACCAAGCCCGGCTGTAACAGCCACTTTAATAAATCTCTTGGTCCTGGCCAGGTGTGGAGTCATTACTGGCACCAAACTTCTTACAGCGTGTGTGTCTGTGCAGACCACATTTCCTTTGCCCACAGATCCACGGATGGGCGTTGAGGGTGACTCCACATCTTTGCCGCTGTGAATTGTGCGGCGATAAGCTTTTGACTCGTTTGATAAAGGAGGCCCCCAGAGGAAGACCTTCTCACATAGCTCACGCCATGGCAGAACTGGCCTCAGATTCTGTTGCATGTGGCTGGTTCTCAAAGGCCGCACAGCACTTCATGGGGCAGGGAGGACCCCAAGGCATACTGCTCACTACTCCTTCCAACTTCTGCTTGATTTAGTTCTGAAAACTCGAATCCAGACCCTCAAGAAAGGCCAGGGCGAGGACATCTACAGCGGGATCACCGACTGTGCCAGGTGAGAGCCAGGGTCTATCCCTGCAGACCACGCTAGGCCAGGGTCCCCGGGGTGGCTGTCCCCCTCACCGGTCTAGAGACCAATGTACTGCTGAGCTCTGGTCTCTCTGACACCCATCCCCTTCCCTCACCTCTCAAGAACAGGAGGTGCTAGGCTGGGCATGGTGGTTCACGCTGGGAATCCCAGCACTTTCGGAGGCGGAGGCAAAAGGACCGCCTGAGCCCACGGGTTCGAGACCAGCCTGGACAACTTGCCGAGACCTCGACTCTACAATAAATAAAAAAATCTGCCGGGCATGGGGGCGCGTGCCTGTAGTTCCAGCTACTCGGAAGGCTGAGGCGGAAGGATCGCCGGAGCCCAGCAGGCCGAGGCCGAGGCTGAGGTAGCCGTGAGCAGCGTGCCACTGCACTCCAGCCGGGGCGACAGAGTGAGACTCTGACTCAAAAAACAAAAAAGGAGGTGCTGGCAGAGCTTTTCCTCTTCCCCAAAGGTTCAAGCCAGACCAAGCCTGTCTTCCAAGGTCTCGACCCAACTGCTGAGTCACCAGCCTCAGCATTCCGAGAGGCAGGGCGTCCACACACCCGTGCTCAGCGCAGAGGCACTCGCGTGGCGAGCGAGGCTGTCCCCGAGGCTGCTCACAGCTGTTCTTCTTTCTCCTCAGGAAGCTCTGGCGTCAGGAGGGACCCTCGGCCTTCATGAAAGGGGCGGGCTGCCGGGCCCTGGTCATCGCGCCGCTCTTCGGGATCGCGCAAGGGGTCTACTTCGTTGGCATCGGGGAGCGCGTCCTCAAGTGTTTGGAGTAAATCCGGCTGGCGCTCGAGTTCCGTGCTCACGGCCACCTCTCCAGCCCGGAGGGGAGGAGGGCAAGAGGCCCGCCCGTGGCGCGCCTTGTCCTCTGGCTGGTGGTGCTGCCTCCGTCTTGGGCGAGACACCCTGTCCCAGTGAGCTGAGCACACGGCCTCATCCTCCCTCCGTAGCCCTGGGGAGCCTTCAGAATCCCCTAACCACGTACTGCTTAACAATAGTCCTCGCTTAGGTCGTATTAACGGCAGGGCCTAACAGACCGTCCAGGCAGGAGAGTTGTTTCTGGACTTTTTTTTTTTTTTTTGAGTCGGAGTCTCACTCCGTCGCCCAGACTGGAGTGC